AATTAATGATCTTTCTTTTATGCCAAAAATCATTAGGATATCAAGTAAAGATCATGTTTCATGAAGATATTTTGTAAATTTCCTTCTGTAAATATATTAAAACTTTATTTTTGATTAGTAATATGCATTGCTAAGAACTTCATTTGGACAACTTTAAAGGCAATTTTCTCAATATTTAAATTTGTATCTCGGCCAAATATTGTCCTATGCTAACAAATCCATACATCAATGGAAAGCTTATTTATCCAGCTTTCAGATGATGTATAAATCTCAGTTTCGAAAAATTGACACTTATGGCTGGTTTTGTGGTCCAGGGTCACATTTGTGATTGACAAAATAATTATTTAAAGAGAACAAGATACAGCTTTGCTTGTTGAGAAAATGTATTGTGTTTTAAGGATGTTTATATATATTTATTTGCAAGGCAATAAACACTGATTTATAAACAAGGCAAAATTAAAAACATTTACCAAATGGCTTTCATATAAGTGACTGGTCAAATAAATAGTATAGGCTACTGTAAATAAATATAGAATTGAACAGGGCAAGAATATTTTCGGATATGCATCTGAATTCATCAAGTTTCTTTTGGTAAAACTGTCCTTCACTATAAAATGTTTTGCCTCTAATATGTGATGAATTTTTATCCATTGTCATGTTCTGTGATATTTCATACTCCATGTCCAAAGTGGTTCATTGTACGTTTCATTTTGCTGTTAAAGTAGTATAAATGATCATTTTCCTCTCCACTGAGTTCACTGTTGTGTAACTTTTGAGTAGTATATTTACTGTGATTAATGATTTCATTTAGTTGAAGAGGGCTCTGTTTTTGAAGTGCTGATCTGTCATTACGTGGTTTGTTGCTAGCAGAGAAATACGAGAGCATTGAAGATGTGGTGTAGTTTTCTTTTTCTAATATCGTCCTCTTAAGGCATCTCTTCAAACCAGTGCTAGTACGGTGAATGAGCACAGAGCACAGGCCTGCAATCATATCTGAAGTTAGGGGGGGTTTGTTGCTTGTTGTGACTTTGGAAAAGTCACGTTTTGCTTCTTTGACTTGCATTGTTGTTATCGTCACACATGGCATTGGGGTGTCTAGGAGGTCCTCTATCTTTTCCCCTATGGAAAAGCTGTCTGGAATTTCATTTAAGCCGTTCAGGTTTAAAGGTCCTGCGATTTGATGATTGAAGAAGGTTTGCATGGGGTTGGCCAAAAAGACTTTAGAAAGAATCCCGACAAGTTGCTTCACCGTCAGCCATTTCCACTTACATTTCTCCTGACTGTTTTGGATAAGAGCTCCTTCAAAACTAAGCCCCTTCACATTTGTGTGGTGATACGTGGTCCAGCGAATGTAGCCCATGTTGTGCCAGTTTCCCTCTTCGTGAAAGTATTTCACATTGAGATAAAAAACACCACTTAAAATATGTGTTGTTGATGGGGAGGGTCTTGAGTTCACTTGAGGAGGGAGTGAATGCAACTTTCCTCTTAGCATATCCTCAACAGCCTGTCAGGAACAAAAAGAACAATGGCAAAAATAATAAGTGTGAATTAAAAAAAAATCTAGAGTGTATTAATTATGAAATTAATAATTCATTCATTATGAAATATTCAGTAAGCAAGGATATCAAAGGTTTCTTTTTTATCACTTGATCTTGCTTTGAATTCTACTTTACATATGAATTTTTTTAAATTTTTTATGTTAACGTCATGCTTTAATCTATCAAATGACAGATAATTAAATAGTTTATAGAGAACCATTTGTTACGGAAATGTATGATTAAAAGTATTGTTCACCCAAATCTCACTCACGTGGCGCACAAGAAGGTGAATAATTGATTTTAATCATATGTTCACAGATATTCATTACTCCAGAAAGTGTAGTCAGAAAATACTTTATGCTATTTTTTTATTATTCAAGAGACATTATCAAAGGATAAAATGCAAGATCTTACCGATGGTGATATATACCAAGTTGTGATATTCTTTAAGAGATCATGCTCTGACAAATCAGGGACTCCAGTATGTCTTATTTTATATGCCCAAAAAACTGGCACATGTTTTAAAGTTGGAAAAATAGCAATGGAAATACATTTCTCTTCATTACATCTACAACAGTAGTCCACTGAAGCTTTTTTAAGAAGCAGTCGAAGATGGGTCCATCCCTTGTAAAAGTGCCCTTTGCAATTATTCCACTTTTCATTGTGGTGATCCAGCTGAAATATCCCACCCCACACATACAAGCACATTGAGGCGAAGCTGAGGTGCCATTGTAGCTTCATCGTGGCTCTTTCTCAACAGCTGTCTGGAAGCTGTTGAGCTTATGCGAAAAGCTCTTATCTTTGTTTGATTTCTTCATGCACACATGACTCGCTGTGCTCTGCCATAGGAAGCCAGTCATCTTAAAACTCATTAATGACCAAAGCTTAACAATTCAAAGTGTTAAGTGTGCATTAACAAAGTGTGCATTGACATTTGCATGTGATTATGAGTGAGTGCGGACGTTCTGTATTCAAAGTCTCCCAGGGCTCTGACGCACTTGATATCTGACCTGAAACAGCACAGAAAGCACATCTGAAACTCTGCACCTGCGGAGGTAGGAATGATGTTATTCTGCTAGATTTGGCACACACATGTATAGACCAAATACATTTATTTGTGTGTGTGTGTGTGTGTGTGTGTGTTCTTCACACTTGTGCTGATAGAACCATGCAAATATTTGAAGTGTAAGTGACCCTGAGCAGAAAAATTGAAAAATTCCATTAAAATTTGATTCAGAGCAACAGCTTTTAATAATGACTATAAGAACACCATATTTGATCAGAGGGGTATTGTTGTCTTTCAGTTTGTGACCAAATCCAGGAATTTAATTGAAATTTAAAAGGCATTCTCAGTTCAATTCTAAAACTCTGGTTACTTACGCTGTACAACTGATGCTGTTATATTTGATGTTTGCATTACATATTTTGTATTCTACTATCATTAGGAACATTGCAGACAATGGGCAATGAAAACGCTAAAACGAATGTGATAAACAGGAGCAGCAGGAATGTACGAGCATTTATAAGCCAAGAGAAGCTGGACGTTGAAGCCTTCATTTCAAAATACAACGGCCAAAATGTTATGGACACCCTGCTGCCACATTCTGCAATAAAGAAGTTCTGCTTTCGACCTGACGTCCCAAGCTACCGTATTCTAATTTCTGAAATTGGTGAGCTTCCTTGGGAAAAGAACCAGTATATTTCACTGTTCATTGAAGATGAGGACGATAAGGAAATCTGTATTAAGCACGTCTGTCTCTGTATGCCTTTATCTTATGAAGCTTCAATTTTAATATATGATATATGATGAGTTAGACACGCTGTCTGTTTGTTTACCTCACTATATGACAGTCATCCCATCCTGCTTTGTTGTATTTCACCATTAAGTTTAATATCTCTTCGGTAAATGCATCCGTAGCAGTTGCTTTTCAGAACGAGTCAATAAATATAGCTGAACAATGCAGATCTTTGTACATCTTGTGTTTTTAAAAGCAGCAAGAACATTACATGACCATGAAAATACACCGCATGACTTCTGGCAGACTAACAATTTCTCTAATTCAAAAAGTGAGAAAATGCCACACTATAAGAAAACACACAATCATTCCCTCATGTGGGTTGATTTCATGCAACTGTAAGTAAGTGACTGGCAGATAAAGGCCACCCAGTACTTTTACAGACACTGTACTTTTATTATGATTTATACATTACAGTCATCTCCATCTTAAATTCTTGGATCATGCCAGCCATTTAGTTCATGTCTCCTGTCCAGTGTGGAGAAACGTGCCATTTAGATAAAGGTTGAGTAGTAAGATAGTCAACTCTTACTGGCATTTTAAAAGACGTATCATGTTGTATTTGCATTCTATCTGCTCACACGGCAGCTTATGTGAAAGAACATCAAGCGTGGCATCATAAAAATTCTGAAGACACGCTTCATCACAGAGTGACACTAACGCCTTTGTGGTGCTCCGTCTATATGACACAGCAAAAAATAAAAATTTGCAATGCATTCTGTATTTAGGGCTTCAGTAGTAGTATATGCTGTTTATTATTTTTAATGGTTTAGTACCTAAAGCAATGGCCTAAAGAACAGCAGGGTGATTTATTCTGTACTCAAATCAGAGACATTACTATAATATATTAAGTTTTTGAAAAAAATTATTTTCACCTTTGTAAACATCAAAATCATTGTGGGTGCAAGAAAGCCTTTGTTATAGGTATAAGCCAGAAATCGGATTAGCCTGTATAAAACAGTTTATAGAACATGAATAATATCACTATATATTCCTTGAGACACCATTATAGTTATGTAGACACTTTCAGCCGATCTCCGGGTCTGGTGGAAGCACTTTTAGCTGTAGCTTAGCATAGATCATTGAATCTGATTAGACCGTTAGCATCTCGCTCAAAAATGACCAAAGAGTTTCGATATTTTTCCTATTTAAAACTTGACTCTTCTGTAGTTACATCGTGTACTAAGACCGATGGAAAATGAAAAGTTGCGATTTTCTAGGCCGATATGGCTAGGAACTATACTCTCATTCCGGCGTGGTTTTCAGGGCGGATTGGCTTGGAACCTATCCCCCCCCCCCGCCGTAATAATCAAGGAACTTTGCTGCCGTACCATGGGTGCAGCAGGCGCAATGATATTGTGCAGTGCCTGAAAATAGGCTAACTTCCGTCAACATAACCAACTACACAAACTTAGTGCCGGTCACGTAGGGAAGTTACCTAGCTGGGGACTATTTTCAGGTGCTGGAAAAATATAGAAACTCTTTGGTCATTTTTGAGCGAGATGCTAACGGTCTAATCAGATTCAATGATCTATGCTAAGCTACAGATAAACGTGCTACCGCCAGACCCGGAGATCGGCTGAACTGATTCGAAAACGGTAAAACTCAACTGTTTAACTCTAGGAGAGTTGGAAAATGAGCCTATTTTCAAAAATAGTGGAGTGTTCCTTTAAGACAAGCACAACAAAACATCTTTTAAACTTGAAAGAAGAATGAGTTAATAGCATGACCATGACTAGCATAACATCTCTCAAAAATCAGGGCTGGACACATAAAAGAAAGTCACGGAGAGAAACGGGAGATATTGTGCACATTGAATGGCTTGAACATAAAAAGAAAGGTAAGAATTTTGTAATTAAAGAATTGAAACAGAAGCTTTTATAAACTTTTTGTCATTACACAGCTTTATTAGACATCGCTGGTATTGACGGCTGAAGAATTGAAAGCTATTGAAGATGAAAACCTTAAATATTAAAGATATACGTTTTGCTCTGAAATATATTAATCCGGTCATTTTCTGTCTGTGTTTTAGATCCGTTTCCCTGTGTCCTTCTATGTGCTGAGTGTGTGGCTGGGGTTTTTGTGTGTGATGTTCGTGTGTCTGTGGAGTGGGACCTGGAGAGGAGGATTTGCCTGGGATGAATCTTTTCTGCAGTTTAACTTGCACCCGTTCCTCATGGTGACGAGTCTCGTGGTGCTGTATGGAAATGGTGAGAGGAAACGCTTCTCTTTCTGTCTTGCATGTACAAACACCTTCTCCCTCTTGTTTTTAACTGGCAGACTTCTTCTCTTTTTTTCTCATGTTTACGGTCTTGCTCCATCACAAATAGTCCTATAGGAAAGAATCACAAATGATTTCTGTTTAATATCATATATGTTTTCCCAAGACGGCACTGAGATTAAATGGAGATCAAATTGAGATTTGTCTTTAAAAAATTTATTTAATGCACGAGTTTCACAATTTGAGTTGAATTACTGAAATAAATGAACTTTTCCACGACATTCTAATTTATTGAGATGCACCTGTATATTCTGTCATCATTTACTCACCGTACAGAACGTCCCAAAACTATGTGACATTCTTTCTTTTGTCGAACCTGATGTGATCTGTCAGTGCTTTCAAAGTGCCCAAATGTATCTGAAGTGTGTAAGTAATATTTTCCACCAAATTTAACGACAAACTGTCAGGTAGATGCGTAATGATATAACAGGGATTTAATTAAACACAAACAGCTGTGCTCGTCTCTAATGGACAGTCTTTCAAGCTGCGTATGGCGTAGTTAATTTGCAATATGAATAGTGAGTGAAAGCTGTTTGTTTGTGAAGTATAGATGTAGAGATGAGGTACAGTATTCAATAAACTTTTTATTTTTAGTTCTAGCTGCGAAATGATGTTTTAAACTCAGAAGTAAAGAATTACATGGGGAAAAAGATCAACAATTACCATTATCAGATGGTAATACTTTGATATGCCATGAGAAAGATGACCATTTTCATATTTCATATTATTATTTACACTACAATTACACTACACTACTTGAGGTCAATAAGATTTTTTTATGTATTTGAAATGAATGTATTTGATCAAAAATACAGTAATAACAGATATATTGTCAAATATTACTACAATGAAAAACAACGGTTTTCTTTTTGAATATACAATATTTAAAAATTTAAGTGATTCATATGATGGCAAACCCGAATTTTTAGCATCATTACTCCAGTCTTCAGTGTCACATGATCCTTCAGAAATCATTCTAATATGCTGATTTGGTGCTTAAGAAATACTTGTTATTATGATATATATATATATATGTTTTTTGTTTTTTTTGATGAATAGAAAGATTAAAATCATGTTTATTTGAAATATAATTGTATTCTTAGAATATATTAATTAATTAATTTAAAAAAATCTTACTGACCTGAAATTTCCTTTACTTCAAAAGAAAAAAGGAATTCCAGGCATATTATTTTGATACATGGTACAGTCGTGTTTATGCCATGTCCAAAAACACTTATTGTGAATACACATTTTTACAGTTGTCTCTTTTTCTCTTTGTCCTGCTCTCTCTGTGTCTGTTTCTCTCTCTCAGCCATAGTCCTGTACCGTGTTCCTTTCACCTGGAGCAGGTGGTGGTGGTGTAAGCGGGCCCATGCAGGGCTGTTGTTTGTGGCCATGGTGCTGTCTGTGCTAGGAGTGTGTGCTGCCTTTGATTTTCACATTGCCAACAACATCCCTCATCTGTGTTCATTACACAGCTGGACTGGGATCTCCACAGTGGCCCTATTCACTTTGCAGGTACAGTATACATGGTCAAGCCTGATTGAAATGTCACAGTATTTTCATTGCTTCATGCTTAGCAAAGCTCCATGAGTATGTTCTACTCCATCAAATTTTAAAGAAATGATGCTTGACATGGTCTCCTGTGCCTTTCTCCTCTGATTGAATAGTGGTTTGTGGGTCTATGGGAGAAATGGAAGCGATACCAAACCATATCCGCCACTGCCTGCTGAAGCTCTGTTTGCAAACTCATAGGCATTGCAGTTGTTATTTTTGGATTGTTAGTGCTGAAACTTTTGTCCAGTCAGAAATGGAAGAATCCAGAGTCTGAGATTGAAACTGACAGAGTAAGTATATGATGACATTCACTTTAAGATGCCAAAAATTAATTGTAAGTATAAACACTACTGTTTAAAAGTTTTTTTAACTTAATAATTCTATTCAGCAAGTATGCATTAAATGGATCAAAATTGACAGTAAATACATTTATCATTTATATAAATAATACAGATTTCAAAAGATCCTCTCTTTGCATCAAAATGGCCTCACATGCAAGGAAATTGCTACAAAGGATATTGCACCTGAAAGAACCATTTACCAGATCATCAAGAACTTCAAGGAGAGAGGATCGACTGCAGTGAAGAAGCCTTCAGGACGTCCCAGATTGTCCAGCAAACACCAGGACCGTCTCCTCCTGAGGACTCAGCTATGGAATCATGTCACCAGCAGTGCAGAGCTTGCTCAGGAATGGCAGCAGGTTGGTGTGAGAGCATCTGCAAGCACAGTGAGGCCAAGACTTTTGGACAACGGCCTGGTGTCAAGAAGGGCAGCAAAGAAGCCACTTCTCTTCAAGAAAAACGTCAAGGGCAGACTGAAATTCTGCAGGAAGTACAGGATTGGACAGCAGAAGATTGGTTAAGAAGTTATTTTCTCTGATGAAGCTCCCTTCCGGCTGTTTGGGACATCTGGAAAATCGATTGTTCAGAGAAGAAAAGGTGAACGCTACCATGAGTCTTGTGTTGTGCCAACAGTGAAGCATCCTGAGACCATCCACGTCTGGGGTTGCTTTTCAACCAAGGGAGTGGACTCTCTCATAATTCTGCCCAAAAACACTGCCATGAATAAAGAATGGTATCAAAACGTCCTGCAAGAGCGACTTCTTCCAGCGATCCATGAGAAATTTGGTGATGATCCATGCATTTTCCAGCATGATGGAGCACCATGTCACAAAGCAAGAGTGATAAAGAAGTGGCTCGAAGATCATTACATAGAAATGTTGGATCCGTGGCCAGGCAACTCCCCGGATCTCAATCCCATAGAGAACCTGTGGTCAGACCTCAAAAGGCGAGTTGACAAGCAGAAGCCCACAAATTGTGATCAACTCCGAGAACTAATAAGGCAAGAATGGATCGCCATCAGTCAGGATTTGACCCAGAAGCTAATATCCAGCATGCCAGAGCGAATTTCAGAGGTTATGAAGAACTAGGGTCAACACTGTAAATATTGACTCATTATATTTTTTTGCCAATAAAAGCTTTAAAACGTATGATATGCATAATCATTGTTTTTCAGTATACCATAGAAACATGAAAAAATAATCTACAAATACTGAAGCAGCAAAATTTGCAAAACACAAAATTGATGTCACTGCCAAAACTTTTGGCCATGACTGTATATATATATGTGTGTGTGTGTGTGTGTGTGTGTGCGTAAGAATTAATAAAAAGTTTAAAGATTAAAAGGAAATCAGAACCAAATCAGCATATTATAATAATTTCTGAAAGATCATGTGAAGGATCACTTCAGCTTTGCAATCACAGGAATAAAGGACATTTTAAAATATATAAAAATGGAAACAGTTATTTCAAATTGTAACAATATTTTACAATATTACTGTTTTAATGTATTTTTGACGAAATAAATGTAGCCTTGGTGAGCATAAGATACTTTTTAAAAACATTTTCATGGTAGTATATATTTGTTGTCTACATTTTTAGTTTGCTTTTGTAACATTAAAAATTAAAATTAAGTGCTGAATAGAGAGGCAATGGCTGAATTTATGTTTTATTTTCAAGTGATTTGTAGGCTTTGCTGACAGATGCCAGATGAAGACTGGAGTAAACAAAAAGAAACATGTTGTGTATATCACAATTATACAAATCAATTTTTGACTCTGTGGCAGCTGGTTTTATGCTTGCTTCATTTACACATCCAAAACAAATTGAGTGCCCAGTTGATTGACATGCAATAGAACCTTATCAATGTGAGAGACAGACCTCTTGTGGTTAGTAAGACAACTGCAAGAAAAAAAATTATAAATTGATCTTACATTTATTAAGTGTTGCCTTCCAAGTTAATAATTTGGTGTATCTATCTGTTTTAGATTTGATATTGTGATGGTGTTGAATATAAGAAAAGTGGAGATGCCGGGGATTGAACCCGGGGCCTCATACATGCAAAGCATGCGCTCTACCACTGAGCTACATCCCCTTATGGCCACAATGAGTTTAAGTGGGTATAAGAATTACATTAAATTACATTGTTTAGGTACGTAGTACATAACAAAATGTAATAGTATTACTTCAGCAAAACATTTTTTCTTATAGCAATTTAAAAGAAACTACACATCCTTAACTATATTCTAATAATTCGTAAAATATATATAAACAAATAGTAGACCTATAGGAACACTTTTCGTAATTTAAATAAAACATTAACGTGTCTGAACCTTAAGGCTGCTTTAAAGATTCGTGGATAGTTAATATAATATGTAGGATTTTTTTTTCATTTTATACTAGTGTAAGTTACGCGAAGCCATCGTTGTGTGGTGCCGACATCCCCTATCCATCGCTTACGGTGCTGATTGGTTTAAAATTCCACCAAAACTAATGGAGGCCAATGAAATTCATTTACGTTGAACTCTAAAACTGACAGTTCGTCGTTGCATTCATCGGTGTTATGTGACTGGAAACTCGCAGGTGAATGTGTGTACACACAGATGACGAACCACACACAAGCGCTTTGAAATGGGATGTTTCATAGACTAAAGATTACGACAAACGGAATTTAAATCGGATTTCTATATCATATCAAAAGCATGTCCGCTTTTGTGGTGAGTGAAAGGTTAAACGTGAAATGCTGTGAGTTGTGTGTTAGCTTGCTAAAGTTGTTAGCTTGATAAAGTGTGCAAAAGCTGCTTGCAGCTTTAAAGTTTTTGGACCAGTGTGATTCAGGGCAGTAGTCAAGATTTGCATAATCAATGTAATATTATTAATATGATTTTATAACGACCCATTATTTTATGAATTGAGCTAGTTGCAGGCCTTATGAAATACATGTAAAAACAATTGTTAGTTATGCTTTAGGCCAATTTTAGCAAATGTAATTCATCTTCAACATGTACATGAATAATTTTGCAAACGAGAACTTGAGATAATAATGGTGGTAATAATTTCTCATAATGTTAAACGTAACACCATGGGCCAAGTTTCATTGGTTTTCAGCGGTAGTGCTTATGTTTACCGCTTACCGCTAGGGGCTTTTAAAGATTGAAGAAACGTACAAAATGTAAATGTGTAAAGCATCTGCAATGCAAAATATAATGTGCAAACACATTTTGCATGTTTATTCGAACTAAATAAACTACATAATCAGGGCTATTTATAAAGTTTGTGTGTGAAATAGAGGGGGTTACACATGGTAACATCTCCTGCTGCCTTGTCAGATTTGGTGACCCTGATGTATTTGATCTTCATCTGTTCACATCAGACCAAAATGCTTTCTAGAATATAAAATAGAGGAGTTTAGACATTACCAGAGTGTTTCTGGGTAACATTAATGCCATAGCATTTCTAATAAGAGGAGTAACAGATTTTACAGAAAATTTATTATAATTATTTATTGCTGCCATGTCAGACTGGGTGACTCTGATGTGTATATGCAGCTGTTCACATCAGACCAAAATGCATACTGGGATATAAATTACAGTGTGTTAGGGGGGGTAACGGGTTTCAGTAACGTGTAACCCTGCCTTGTCAGATTTAGTGACCCTGCTGTACATCTGCATCTGTTCACATCAGAGCAAAATTCATTCTAGGATTTATAATAGAGGGGGTTAGACATCACCAGAGTGAATTTGGGTAACATATTTCAATGAACTTTAATACTGCCTTGTTAGATTTGGTGACCCTGCTGTACATCTGCAGCAGAATGGTAAAAAGCAGTAACACTTGGATTTATCCCAGTTAAAACTAAATTTAAAAAATGTGTCTTTATGTATTTAGAAACAAAAAAATATTCATGTATTTCAAGTCGAAGTCAGCACCAGTCCTAAACAGCTGTTAACAAGGAAGTGATACACATTGAAATAGGGCTACTTATTCATTATAATTTCATTCACTAGCTGTCTGCATTTATTTTTCTAGGCCCATCCCTCGGTTCGTGTCAAAGGAACAGAACACACATACACACCTGTGCTGTGTCAGGATGAGAAGTGTTTAGGGCAGGAAAAAGGAGTGCACATGCACTGCCCGCTCTGTTCTGTGGCCGAGGCTTACCAAGATCTCGTCATCCTGCGAGCTCACTTCCGCATCAAACACGTGGACAAAGGCATTGACTTTGCAGGTGAGGCACAATGAGACTATAGACTCACATGTGATTCATGTCCTTTGGAGACATTTTGTCAATTTCATTTTTTATGGACAGGCTTGAAGGTGCTGCGCTGCTGTATCCATTGTGAGATCGTGGGCACTATTAAAGGAGAAAAACGGTTTAAAGGTGCACACTGGCACTGTTACCGCTGTAGAAATGGTTTCAACAGGAGGGACGAGGCCATCAAACACTATAAAACACACTTCCGAAATCCCCACACCACATTCCAGATCCAAGTCACACAGGTAAAGGTGGATAACCCGGAGTTAAATCTGTTTTCCACTTTGGATATGGCTTTTTATGATCATGTTTGCACATGTGCTGTCCTAGAATGTGAACTGCCGACAGTATTATGGTGAGAGCTCAGAGGCTCATGCTAAAGCCTATGAAGGGCTGGCGGTTAGTCTTGGACTGGGTGGAGATGGCACTAGCATTGGATCCATCCTGACCACTGGCACTGAAACCCTACTGACTGTGGAGCCAAAGGTAGACAAAATCACAAAGCTTTATTTTGGGCATGTACCGTTTTGGTGTTTGCCTTGAAGTATTGTTGTTGACCTCTCCTTTCTGTGTTTGAAGGAAGACGGTGAGAGAAATGGAATCCCATTAGGTGCTGAGGAAGAGGTGGGGTCTTCCCAGAATTCATCTGATGGGACTCAGACACTTGTTCTTATGGACCCTGATGGACAGGGAAACAGTGTGATCTTTGATACCGCTACTGGTATCCTCACTGAACAGGTAAACATTATTAATGTGAATCATTGAACATATCACTATTTAATGGCATTTCACGATTAATGTTTTGTGAAACCTCAAAATTACAAACAATATAGAAGGTGTGACTTATTATTAATGCAGCTCTGCTATTAGTATTCCTTACATACACTGCTATTCAAAAGTAAGTGACAACATAAACAATTATTAGCAACCCCCAAATCTTCAACAGTAGTGTACATTATTCATGTACTTTATTCAGTCTTCTGGTTTTGTAAATCTCCTGTAAGAGCTGTCAAAAAATGTTTTTGTTGCTTTAATTTCAGGAGGCAGAAAGTTTGGAACAGACCCTGCTACAGAAACGACTCCTGGAGCTCCACCAGCAGATCGACACACTACATCAGGAGAAGGACAGTATGGAGAAGACACTACGAGCTGAGATTAAACAGCTCAAAGAACAGGTATACCTGATTAATCTCCCTCTTTCTCTCTCTCTCTCTCTCTCGCTCGCTCTAAAATCTGCATTAATAACAGCATTATTCTGCTATCAACGACTCAAGCCTCCGTTACTCACTCTAAATTGATGTTTTGGAATAGGACTGGACGATTAATAGAAAAGAAATTGAAACCGAAATTCAGAACCTCTACCCGACGTAATTTTCTCATGTTGGTTATTTCGGTTTTTAATCCTGTTAATACTTTCCCCTTAAAAGCATACTACCGCTTGTATAGTCAGCGTCTCGCACATGAGTGTCGCGTTAAAATAATTTAAACTTTTACACATAGCACCGCTCATTAATGTCAGTTTTAATTCAGTGGACCAATCAGAAGACCCCGGAGGCAGGACAAGCGTTATGAGCTTTTATTTGCAGTAGCAGGTTGGCATGGCAACTTTTGTATTTGACGGCAACATGGCGGAGTAGGGAGTCTGTGCTGTGCTTTATTTTATAAAGTCCCTCGGTTTTAGATGCAAAGACACGTTCTGTGTGAATGACCAGTAAGAATCTAGAGTAGCCTAAATACTTAAAGGGGTCATATGATGCTGCTAAAAAGAGCATTATTTAGTGTAATTGGTGTAATGAAATGTTTATGCGGTTTAAGGTTCAAAAAACACATTATTTTCCACATACTGTACATTATTGTTTCTTCTCTATGCCCGGCTTTCTGAAATGCGTCAATTTTTACAAAGTTCATCAGTCTGAAAAGCAAGGTGTGCTCTGATTGGCCAGCTATCCAGTGCATTGTGATTGGCCGAATACCTCAAGCGTGTGACGGAAATGTTACGCCCCTTACCATACTGTGATGCCCTGTCCGGCCGGAGCGACAGGACAAAAACATTAAAAACCCATTATAAACGAGGCATTTGTTGCATCCAGTGGGGACATAATTACGGATTATAATGACTTATACTGTCTTTTTACGCATTAACATAAAACCATGTCTGCATTTGTGATCGGAGAAATGACAAACAACATTTCTCTACACTGCCCAAAAAACTCCCGTTTGAATCGTCAGTGGCAAATTCTTTAAATATAAAAAACGTACTTGCAGTCTTTGAGTCAGAACAGCCGGCATTGTAGTCTACTCTCACAGGATCAGGAAACAGTCCTCCATAAAATGCGCTGCACACATCTGAATATTTGGGTTGAACTGTTCTGGAACAGTGTTGTAAATACAACTTAACCACTGATTTCTAGTCGTGTCCTCTTTCGGAAGGCCAAACAAAGTAGTTTCACTTTCACAACGAAACCGCGTCACACACTGCCTTGAGTGAGCGGAGGCCGGAGGCCTAGAGAACGGCGCGGCCGGCGGATTACTTGTGGCATGGCAATATTCATTTATTTTGTTTGCAAAAAATTTATTATTTTCTTTTTTTTCTTTTTTTCTTTGAAAACTTCATAAGACTTCATTTCAAGCAATGTGTGCTTTGATTTCAATTGTTCAAAATATTCAACAAATAACCATAAACCGTTTGTTTCCTTCAATTATTTTAAAATCACAAAGATGCACTCTTATATCCTGCCTTTAAGTATATTTACAGTACAAAACTTTAATGAACTATGAGGGCATAATAATAACAAATAAAAAAATTTTAATTAAAAATAAAATAATTGTTCAATAATCGTAATCAAGGTAAAGTGTTCAGTTAATCGAGGTTTGGATTTTAGGTCATATCGCCCAGCCCTATTTTGGAATTAGCAACAGAGGCATGTGATGATTTGCGCAAGAAATTAGTCCTACACACAAGTGTTTTAAGGACTAAAATCTGATGAATGTTTTGAAATACATCATCTGAACAATTTCTAGAGGTGTGGTAACCATAGTATTAATGGAATAATTGACTCTTGTATGTTGAATTATTAGAAAATAATGCACAGCCAAGGTGTAACGGCCACCTCGGGTGTACAATATTTTCTAATAATTCAACAGTCCATCGTCAGTTGTTCCTTACTTATTGTATTTCTAAAGTAAGTCATTTTTAACTTTCACTGATGTAAAATTCAATGTTTTGTTTAATTTTTTTATGTAGCACATTTGCAGTATATTTTCATTTACCACACAATAATTTTAAATTGCCCTGTTGTATAAACACATGGGACACACGTTGACAGTAAATACACTTATTTGGTTAGCCAAGCAAGCAATACAACAAATAAATATTTAAATTACCATTCTGGAATGACAGTTCAAAAATGAAAGTTTTCTGTTCATCAAAAAAAGTTATATTTTGGTTTCCTCAAAAATATTACCTGTTTTGAACATTGATAATAATAAGAAAATGTTTCTTAAAGGGGTCATATGATGCGTTTTCAATTTTTCTTTTCTCTTTGGAGTGTTACAAGCTCTTGGTGCATAAAGAAGATCTGTAAAGTTGCAAAGACTAAAGTCTCAAATCCAAAGAGATATTCTTTATAAAAGTTAAGAGTCAACCATGCCTACCTAAAACGGCTCGTTCTAACACGCCCCCACATGTCTACGTCACGATGTGGGAAGATTTGCATAACGCCGCCCAAATGTTCATGCAAAGAAAGTAACTTTTATTCTCGCTGTAGTATTGTTGCCGCTGCCGCCATGTCGTGAAGGCGCTGTGTTTCGTTGTGAAAGCGAAACTACTTTGTTTGGTCTTCCAAAAGAGGACGATATCCGCTTCGTCATGCCTAGAGCTTGAATCCGTGCTGGTCGCTGAGGAAATGATCCGGCCTCCGCTCACTCTTGCCCGCCGTATGTTTCGTTGTGAAAGCGAAACTACTTTGCTTGGTCTTCCAAAAGAGGACACGACTAGAAAATACTAGTCGTGTCTGTTGTAAATACTGTTGTAAATACTAGTTGTATTTACAACACTGTTCCAGAACACTTCAACCCAAATATTCAGATGTGTCCAGTGCATTTTATGGAGGACTGTTTCCTGATCCTGGTAGAGTAACTTTAGACTACAATGCCGGCTGTTCTGACTCACAGACTGTAAGTAAGTTTTTTTATATTTAAAGAATTTGCCACTGGTGATTCAAACGTGAGTTTTGAGCAGTGTAGAGTAGCGCTTGTTGTTCGTCATTTCTCCGATCACAAATGTAGACATGGTTTTATGTTTACACGGCGCGATACAATGCAACTCGTAAAGAGACAGTATAAGTCATTATAATCCGTAATTATGTCCCCACTGGATGCAACAAATGCCTCATTTATAATGGGTTTTAATATTTTTGTTTCGTCACTCCAGCCGGACAGGGCATCACAGTATGGTAAGGGGCGTAACATTTCCATCACACGCTTGAGGTATTCAGGCACTCAAATAGAAAGCAGTTGTTTTAAATTGTAATAATATTTCACAATATTATTATTTTTACTGTATTTTTTTAGTCATATATGTGTGTATACGATAATTGTGATTAATCGCATCCAAAATGAAAATTTTTGTTTACATAATATATGAGTGTGTACTGTGTTTATTTATTATGTATAAATAAATACAAACACATGCATGTATATATTTATGAAAAATATGTTATGTTTATGTATAAAATACATTTATATAAAATATAATAATATAAATGTATATACATGTAAATATTTTCAAATTATATTCTAAATATGTATTTATATATACACATAATAAATAAACACAGAACACACAAGTTATGTAAACAAAACCTTTTATTTTGGATGCGATTAATTGCGATCATTTGACAGCACTAATATGTGTGTGTGTGTGTGTGTGTGTACAATTGCTATAATTAAATTTTCCTTTGCATCCCTTCTATTTTATTATTAGGTTGCAAGCCTGGTTCAGTCTAACGTAAGGATGTTTGAGGAACTCCAAGCTTATCAATGTCCAGATCACAGCCAGCAGAAGGTGGCCAAGCTTGTAAGTGTTCTGAATGTACAGGCTTGTGTTAATTAAAATGTATATTATTCCAGAGTGAAACGGTCTTATTTTCTTCTGTTTTTTTTTTGTATTTTTAGCTGGAAAACCTTGAAGCTCAGCACAAAGAGCTCCTGCAGGCCCAGCTGGCCTCACTCAGGAGGGCTATCCTGTCAGGGGCAGATAACATGCCTATCAATGGCCACAAGGGGGCTCTGGAGCTCAATGTAGATTCAGAGGAGTCCCAAACTGAAGCCATCAGTGGCACTTTATCAGGACTGGAGGATATGGATGTGCAACTACAAACTGAGCAACACAAATCCACAGAGCTTGAACTAGTACCAGCCGATACAATTCCCTGTTTGGAGAGCCCCGGTTTGCACTTAGATTTGCCAAACACTGGCTTGACTACATCTAAGGTTTTAGAGGATAAACGGGAAGTGTCATTGTCCCTTGTGTCATCTAAGAAGCGCAGCTCAGCGGATGACTCAGAAGAGATGACTGAAAGCAAAGTACAGAGAGTCAGCTGAAAATGACTTGACATTAAAAACATACTCGTCTCCATTCCTCATTCTTAACAAATTGCTGTTACCTTTCCCACACATTTCCTGGTAAAAAAGATATACAGAGTGATATTTATTCTGTAATTTGGCAAAATACACCTAAAAAATTCCATGTTCAAATATTTTTTACCTTTTCCATGCTTATGTATATGTTTAATTGCTGGTTTTGTCAGTGCTTTCTGATGAACTCGTATGCTCTTGTCACTCAAAGAATGTGTAGGATTAAAGCATAGGATTTATTTCTGATGTTCTCTGAGCATAAACAGAACCATGTAGCTGATCATAAATTCATAAAGTAAAAATTTTGTGATGAAATGTTATGAGATTATGGGAAAACGTTTTTATGTTGGGTTGTCAAGTTTTGAAGGTTTACTGGCATAACAATTCTCCTGTTTGGGCTTTTTTTGTTTAATATCTTTATACATGTGTGTGTGTGTATATATATATATATATATATATATATTCACTGGCATTTAAAATTATTGCCTTTATTGAAAAGTTGCCCAATCAGTGCTTGTTACATCATTCAGCACTGTTCATGATAGGCCAGATTATTTTGTATTACAAGTTTTCTGTTGTTGAAATATGCAAATGAGTCATTATATGATTAAATATCCATACATTTGCAAACCTTCAGGATATTGTTAGGAATTAAACTGAAAGGGTCGGTGTATGTAAGTGCTGCTGAAGTGGAGATTGCTGGCTCGTGCATGAGAAAAAAACTTGTAATTGAAATCTAAAAATGCTAATTGATCAAGTGTAATAAGATAAACACCTAAATATGTATTTTGAATGTTTTCTTTCTAGCCTGAAAGAAGACTGGAAGCAAAATAGCTCAAAATCTCAAAATTGACCGGTGCATGAATTGAGAATTATTTGTCTTGAAGGAAACCTTGAGTCAGAACTTTTAAAGGGATAGTTCACCAAAAAAAGAAAATTCTGTCATTTAATTCCTTACCTTCTTGTTGTTCCAAACACTTAAGACCTTCGTATTTCTTCGGAAAACAAATTAAGATTTGTTTCGATGAAATCCGAGAGCTTTCTGACCCTGCATAGACAGCAACGCAACTACCACTTTCAAGGCCCAGAAAGGTTGTAAGGACATTGTTAAAATAGTCCATGTGACATCAGTGGTCCAACCTTAATTTTATGAAGCTACAAGAATACTTTTTGTGCGCAAAGAAAACAAATACGACTTTATTCAACAATTTCTTCTTTTCCATGTCAGTCTCCACTGTGTATTCACAACAGTACCACGATGCTTGCGTGTGCATTCCTCTGCTTGCAAACAAAGCGCAGTGCATCCAGGTTCTACGTCAGAACACCGGCTCCTGTGTCAGCAGCATCACACGCATGCATCATGATACTCTCATGAATGCGCGAAAGAGAAGAAATTATTGAATAAAGTCATTACTTTAGTTTTCTTTGTGCATGAAAAGTATTCTCATAGCTTCATTAAATTACAGTTGAAACACTGATGTCAAATGGACTATTTTAATGATGTCCTCCTTACTACCTTTTTGCGCTTTGAACGTGGTAGTTGTGTTGCTGTCTATACAGGGTCAGAAAGCTCTCGGATTTTATCAAGAATATCTTAATTTGTGTTCCGAAGATGAATGAAGGTCTTACAGGTTTGGAACAACATGAGGGTTACTAATTAATGACAGAATTTTAATTTTTGGGTGAAGTATCCCTTTAAATCCCTTTAACGGAACTATCAATTTGACCGAATCAGTCAAAGCAGTTTTCCAGTCACCGACTTGCTGTTGAACCGTTGTATTTTAAATCATGTCTGGCCAAATAGCCTTTCAAGGAAAGTCTGTTCATTTGGCGGCCACATTTGCAACACCTCCGGGCATCTATTTTGGGCATCCAAGACCAAGTCCTATCTAAATGAATGGAGTAATCCTGAAATCTCAGAAATTGCCTGCTGAACTCACAATTAAATTACATATTTCAAATCAGCAACAAAATCTGAAATGAACTGGCCCATGAATGTTGTTCCTTATGCTTAAATAGTGTTAAAAGCTTATTTTTCAGGCTAGACCAGCCAATGCGCATGTGCAGTCATAATCTTTGGGAACTGGAGCTTCCAACGGCAGCTGCAGTGATGCAGTGAATTTACCAATCAGCGATTGGCTCTTTCATTTAGAAGGCGGGGCATATTCTGCCATATTGCGCATTGCAGTTTCTCTCATTCATCATAAGTAATAGGAGTGAACCATCTTTGTATTTGTAATGTCTTTGGTCTGGCTCATAATGAACCAGGTTAACAGCTTTCTGACTTATTTGACCAGTTTGCGGAAATAATTTCAATTTTCCATTAGTACTTTTAAACTTTGATTTGGTGAGGTGTGGGGACGCAGCAGGGTTGTTATTTAAAAACAAACAAAAAAGTTTTTTTTTTTTTTAAGGTCAAAATATTTTATTTCCAAGGCAACATTACTCATTTTCCACATCAAAACTATATAGACATTAAAAACACACAAAATGATTAAAACTTTGACTAAAATTAAAATGAAAACAAACTAAAAATACTTATTTCAACATATTAATAAAAAATACAACTGTGAACTACCTACAATTAGGGTAATGAACCATATGACTTTGTGTGGTTTGTTTTCTTATTAATTTTTTTTTTTTTTTTTTACTGAATACTGCTGACTTTAATCCCATTACTGTTGCCACTTTCATAAAAGCAATAAGAACACTGTAAAATCACTGTAGCACAGCCTCACTTACTGAGTTGGCAGTTTTTATCTGTTACTGTTGCATGATTCTAAATGGCCCATCTCACTCTGCTACAGGGTCATAGTGGACCTGTTAAAGATGAACGTTGCTCCTCTGGCAGTCTTTCAGACCCTAAAGACCATGTGTGCGGGACAGAAAGTCTCTGAAACATCCACCGGTGACACATCCACAGCGTCCCACACTGCCACTGCGCCTTCTGAGTCTAGAGGTAAGTGCTACACATGTAAAAGTCATGGAGACCAAAGCAAAATATGCCACAGAATTGCATGGTTTGAGTTGGAAAATAGGTGATGTCAAATACAAAGCAACATATATGCTGTACTGATGGTACTTTTGAACTCCGACTGTCCTTTTTGGTAATCTGTGTGTGACTTCCTATAGAAGAGGAGGGTGTGGTCTCAGGAAAGAGCTCTAAAACTGCAGCCCCTCCCTCTGCATCTGTATCCCGCCCACCTAGGGGAGGGGCTAAGATAGTGGTCTACAGTGCGGGTGACACGAGTGCTCCTGTATCTCAAGGTTTTTCTTCTCTCCCTCTTTTAGCTTGGTTCTCTCATCCTTTTTTTAATCCTGATGCTTGCGAGTTCAAGGTTTTCTCTTCACTCCCATGAACTATTGCAGCACATTTCTCATGCTGACATAACTAATTCCTGCCTCAGCTTCATAGTGCCGTATATCTGTTCTCATTCTCATGCCTCACCGATTGTGCCTGCGATTTGCGGGCTCAATGCTCCGAATATGGGGGTGAAATGCCCCAGATCCGCTTCCTTCGTGTGTCTCATGGACTCTGTGACTCTCATCCAGCTATAGAGTCCTCTGCTTCTCATGGTAAATGAATGTCTGTTAATGGCGTGTGTCGAATGTGACACTGTAATGCACTAGTAAACCAGTATCCTGCAAAATTGTCTGCAACCAACATTGAAAAGCATGCATGTGACTGTCAACTTCATAAACGGATGGTGTTTGCCACTTCATCGCTGATTTTTGCACTGAATACAACTGATTTGTTATAAATCATCTTGGTGTCGCCTAATGAACAAAATCTCCCTCATATGTGACCTTCTCCATCATTTTGAGTTGTTTTGACCCCAAAACACATTTCACAGTTTTAGTTCTCTACTGGTATAATTATTTTTATACTTCAAACTGGTCAAAATATAATAATTTAAATGGTCAAGCATCAAATAAATAAAATAATGATTTTCTAATAATATATTTTAGTGATATGGTCTTCTTTAATCATTTCCTACAAAGCTGTGAACACTGAATGACTTTCCTTTCCGGTTTTGTTATTTATTTTTCTTTCTTTTTTTTGAAACACTGACAGATGGTTACATGAGATATTAAATATTTTGGTAAACTGTTGTGAATCCTTGAACATATACTCTGATGTTTACTTATTTTTTTTCATGCTATAGAGCGCAACAGTCAGAATCGTATTTGTGTTCTTCACAGGGGAATTTATTTTTATTGATAACTTACAAACTTTTACAAACCAGCTTTGAGCTACGTGGTTGTTAATCTGCTGAAGCTGTCAGCCCACATTATTTTAACTAATTATGTTTTGTGGAATTTCTCATGGAGAAACTACGTTTTACCCATGATTCCCATGATCAGAGCCAAAAGAACTCTTTAGTTCTTTCATGAAGCACTGTGAATGACTTGATAGAATAAGTCTTATGTATGCATATTTTAATCAATCTTTAAATCAATAGTTTTATATTTATCAATCATTTTTATTTCAATTACGTTATTTTGCTTCATGGGATTGTAGTTCTTTCCCTCATTAAAGCTTATAAGTGCACAGTCTTGTCTTTTTGTCTGATTTTCAAATACCCTTTCGCCTCATAGCTGGTTGGTTTGGTTCATGGCTCTCAACTCTTTAATGAAGACTTTTTAAAATCCCTGTGTGAAAAACAAATACTTCAAGAACCAAGGCCGCAGAAGTTGCCCGGTGTTCTGACGATTTGTGCTACCCACTCAGATTGTGCTACCTCTCATTAAAAAGATTGGTAGCACAAATCGATAGCAAAAAATGCTACCTATCAGAATGTGCTACCAGCATCTTATTAATGTGGTTTGAGGCTTTTTTTTTTAATGTCCATACCTACCCCTACCCTTAACCTACCTGTCCACACCTACCCTTACCCTAAACTTACCCTTAAAACAATGCAAATATATTTTTGGTAGCACAATCTGATAGGTAGCATGTTTCGTCGGTACACCGGCACTGTTCCACTTATTAACTAGTAGTTAAAGCAGAATAGATGATCGGTTCATGTACATATGCTGCTGTTTGAACAGAAGCATCATCATTGATTTGCCACACCACATTAAAACATGTCAGACAGACATTTATTTTTGAATTTCACAATTAAAGAATCTAATTACAAACAAGTTGTTGCAACTTTCAACTCAAAATGATAGAGCCCGTCACATATGTATGTGTTTTATGTGTTATGTTTATGTGCTTTTCTTCTGTGTGTATTTGTGATTTAGTACGCAGTAAAACAAGTTCAGGGCAAGGGGAGAAATCGGCAAGAGATGGTTCTAGCCAGCGAGTGCCACGGCAGGTCAGTGCCACCAGGGGACAGAAGAGCGCCAAGAGCTCAGGCAGCAGCAGCTCATCATCTCAGCTCACCTCCAACTGAAGTTCTTCATGAGTTAAACAACACATACCAAACTTGCTTGAATTAAACTCAGTTTTTCTGTTGATTAATGTTCCTGTAGAATTGGAAGAAACGTTTTCACTGTAAACAAAAATAGTTAAGCCATTTTAGGGATCTCCCTAGATATCTTCAGTGTTTCACTGAAGACCTCTTTGCATCAAATTTGCATCTCCCCCAGAGAGACTATAACTGAAGTATGCCATATTTTCCACGGTTTAGTTTACACGTTCACACCAAAACCATTTGAGAAAAACACAGATAATCTTTTGCTATCTTTAAACCATCCACTTATACAATTCGGCAGCTTCGGGCTGCTGTGAAGCACATCTGTTTTAAACTGTTTGTGTAAGACACTCAAAATTGTCTTGGTAAGCTTCGATGTCTAGATGGACATTATTTTCATTTGTGAAATGTTATTTTTTTTTTATTTCCTTTGCTTTTATCCTTTTTTTTTTCAAGTGCATCTCCAGTTTTAAGTAAAAATATTCCTCTTTAAAACCAATTATTGTATTTCGCACTTTAATTCTTTACATGATTACATTACACACTTTGTATAGTATGCATAAATCATGTATAAAGCAAAATATGAGTGTATTTGTTTTTGATGAAAAGTCTCAGTTAATGTTTCATAAGCACATACATAAGCATTTAATTATGCGGTTACTTTGACTGTGGAATTGTGAATGCTCTCTTCATTCATTCTCTTCATTCAACTCTTGATCAGCATACTTCACATTTAATGTTAAATGAGATGGAATTTGCTGCATTGTCTTCCTCTATAGAAGCTGTACAGTATAAGACAGGGTCAGGGTCAACGGAAGCACTTGTGTGTTTGTACACTGCACTTTCTTTACTGTATGGTCCCACTTGGTGACTGTGTAGGCCAAGGTAAGACCTCTTGCTATTGAGACGTGCACAATGGTTAAAGACTTCTCTTCAGTAATGAGCTGCAGCTAAATGAAAATGTTTTGAAGTGAACAACGAGAACGGCATGTTAAGAGTTCAAATCATGTCCGTCTAAATTAAGCCTCTAAGATCAAATGTGTTTTAATCATAATGTGAAAGCAGTCCTAAAGGATCATATACTTGCAGAAAGACTCATTGAAGAAAGAAAATGGGAAGACTTTCAGGTTTTCTTTTAGGCTCTTAGGTGATTTTTGTTTGATTAGCATTTCTTTAGGATTTTGTTTGACTGGTAAACAGGTTCAAACTATCCAAATGTCGGAGTTTTTCAGTTTTCAGCACTGATATTAATAATAAATTTCTTAAAGGGATAGTTTACCTTCAGTTGGTCTCCATTGACTAGTGTTTTTTCCCCATACTATGCGGAAGTCAATGGGGACCAGCAACTGAAGGTGAGCTATCCGTTTAAAGCTCCAAATCATATTACACTGAAAAACATTTTTTTTTTTTTATGTGAAAGATTGGAGTGCATTTTACAAGAAAATACGGCTCAGTCTTGAAAGTTAAGAATTTCATGTTTAATTCAGTGTGTTAGGTGCCGTTGTTAAATTGAACAAAAATTACAAAGGAAAATCCACACCAATTATGTTAATTTTTAAATTTTTCCCCTCAGCGTAGGATGATTTTTGAAGGATTGTATGATACTGTAGACTGGAGTAATGGCTGCTGAAAATTTAGCTTTACCATCTCAGATATTACATTTTAAAATGTATTAAAATAGAAACCTTTTTTTATTTACATTGTAATATTTCACAGTATTGCTGCTTTACTTCATTTTTTTTATCAAGTGAATTCAAAACACGTTTCTTCAAACACATTAAAAAATCTGACACAAATATAGCAGATTAAAAAACATGTCTTTATTGGGATATGACAGAATTCCGATTTTTATTACAGTATGGCCCAAATTCACTTGCATGAACAAAAGTGGCTTATGGCTCTACTTTCCATTGGTAAATGGCAGATGGACAGTCTTTTCTCTTTCGAGGTCAGTTGATTAAAGCGAATTCCTTCAGATATTCCTGCACAAAGACGGCCATAAAAACACATCTCATTGCACATGTAAGTCTTTCAACAGTTTATTTCTTTAGTCACTTTGGGAGAAAAAACTTTCTGAACCTGAATAATAGGACTTTCTTTTGTCATTTTAATGAAAGACAGTTGGGTTTGTTGACAAGGCCTATATGGTTACCATATTTTGGGCAAAGTGTTTTTTTTATTGTTTATTAAATGTGTATATTTTTAAGGCCTCTCAAACACCAACCTGCCGCTGGTCGGTTAGATCTTGTGTATGGATTTCAGTAGGCCTATGTATTGATCTCTCTCTCTGTGTGTATGTATGCAGCAAGCAGACCATGACAGGATGTTTGGAAAGGTTGCCAGAGGTTTTATGGTTTACCAATCCAACGATGGTATTGCTGGATTTTTGAAGAGTATGGTCCATAAGTAAAGAACAGAGCAGAGCACATGATGGGAATAGAAAATAAAAGCTTTTGTTTGCCAGACTGAGAGAGATGAGGACAAAGACATACACTTGTGGAGAAAACGAGAAAGAAAAAGAGCTTGAGGGGCTGGAGCTAAAGAAAATAGGTGTGTGCGCGCGCTGGGAAGGAAGCGAGAGAGGGAGAGTGAAAGAGGTGAGCCGAGGTTTTAATGTGGCCGTTTGTCGTGTTTATGTGGCTGTGGCGCTGCTCTCTCCTGCTCTCTGTATTGATGGCAGTGCAGCCAGGCTGTAATTGATGGCGGCATATTGCTGTACTCCGGCAAGTGTAATGGGCCGAGACACAGAAGCAGAGAGCACAGCAGGAACCCTCTTTAACCCTTTACGTTCTCACACACTCAAACCCTGAAATATGCGTGTGTGTCTGTAGGGAAGACGACGGGTGCCACGTTTCTACTACAGGTAACTCCCTATTTTGTAACCCCGCGTTTGCTTTAAAGCATAATTATCAATTCCAAACACCTTGTGCATTGTGCAAGTTTGCACAGTTCTTCCCTTCCGTAGAGCTCTGTTGCTGCCATAAAACAAAATGTTTATATTGTTACATTTAGTTTGCTTGTCTGCTTTGTTCAGATGTACTTTTAAAGTGATCCGATACTTGAAAGCTATAGAAATCAAACCTATCTTGGTGGAACTGGTGAAAACAGGCAGTCATGTGATCTCTATATGAAGGGACAACCAACTTTTATTAAGCTACTGATAAATGAATCGTTTGAAATGTGTGCATATCATTTGTAACCCTGGCTCTGAAAACCCAGCTAAAGTCATTTTTTGGCTGTTTTCTAAATAAAATCATCCTTCATAAGGTAAAGAACATTCTGTGAAAAAGTAACCTTGATATCTTTAAAGGGGTCATATGATGCGATTTAAATTTTTTACTTTCTCTTTGGAGTGTTACAAGCTCTTGGTGCATAAAGAAGATCTGTAAAGTTGCAAAGACTAAAGTCTCAAATCCAAAGAGATATTCTTTATAAAAGTTAAGAGTCAACCATGCCTACCTAAAACGGCTCGTTCTAACACGCCCCCACATGTCTACGTCACGATGTGGGAAGATTTGCATAACGCCGCCCAAATGTTCATGCAAAGAAAGAAGGCATAACTTTTATTCTCGCTGTAGTATTGTTGTTGCCGCCGCCGCCATGTCGTGAAGGCGCTGTGTGTTTCATTGTGAAAGCGAAACTACTTTGTTTGGCCTTCCAAAAGAGAACGATATCCGCTTCGTCATGCCTGGAGCTGATCCGTGCTGGTCGCTGAGGAAATACATCAACTTCGCACTGTGGATCGCCAGATCGGCCGCCCTCCGCTCACTCTAGGCCTCCAGCCTCCGCTCACTCTAGCCCACCGCCCTCCGCTCACTCTAGGCCTCCAGCCTCCGCTCACTCTAGCCCACCGCCCTCCGCTCACTCTAGGCCTCCAGCCTCCGCTCACTCTAGCCCACCGCCCTCCGCTCACTCTAGGCCTCCAGCCTCCGCTCACTCTAGCCCGCCCTCCGCTCACTCTAGGCCTCCGGCCTCCACTCACTCTAACCCAGCGTGTGTTTCGTTGTGAAAGCAAAACTACTTTGTTTGGCCTTCCTAAAGAGGACACGACTAGAAATCGGTGGTTAAGTTTTATTTACAACACTGTTCCAGAACAGTTCAACCCAAATATTCAGATGTGTCCAGCGCATTTTATGGAGGACTGTTTCCTGATCCTGGTAGAGTAGACTACAATGCCGGCTGTTCTGACTCACAGACTGTAAGTAAGTTTTTTATATTTAAAGAATTTGCCACTGATGATTCAAACGCGAGTTTTGAGCAGTGTAGAGTAGCACTTGTTGTTTGTCATTTCTCCGATCACAAATGCAGACATGGTTTTATGTTTACGCGGCGCAATGCAACGTGTAAAAAGACAGTATAAGTCATTATAATCTGTAATTATGTCCCCACTGGATGCAACAAATGCCTCTTTTATAATGGGTTTTAATGTTTTTGAATCATTGCGCCGGCCTGACAGGGCATCACAGTATGGTAAGGGGTGTATCATTTCCGTCACACGCTTGAGATATTCGGCTAATCACAACGCACTGGATAGCTGGCCAATCAGAGCACACCTCGCTTTTCCGACCGATGAGCTTTGTACAAAATCAACGCATTTCAGAAAGGCAGGGCATAGAGGAGAAACAGTAATGTACAGTATGTGGAAAATAATGTGTTTTTTGAACCTTAAACCGCATACACATTTCATTACACCAAATACACAAAATAGTGTTATTTTTAGCAACATCATATGACCCCTTTAATATTGATTAAGACCATGTCATTTTAATCGTAGTGAAATTCATGGTTGAAGTCAAAATTTGATGCTTGTTATCTCATAATTAGATTTTGAGACTTTAGCCTGGATTTCACAGAGAGGGTTACATTTTGTAAAAAGTTCTTGAGGGAAAAGCTTTTGGAAAAAAATTACTGAGTGTGTCTCTAAAGAAATATTTTGGGTTAAATATGAATGAACTGACCTCTACATCTGCTCAAATTAAATTATTAAAAGTAAAAAAAAAATTATCTCAGTTTTTATAAAATATTTTATTTGTTTACACAATTTGTCTTGGTGAATCTACCAGT